GCAGAAAAATATGCACCTAACAAACGATGGCATATTGATACAGTATTAAAAGTCTTAACATTGGTATGTTTTTTTAGTAATGTATACAATGCTTTTTATTTAATGTTTTTGTTATCTTAAAATTTTTGTAAAAAAGTGAAAAAGAAATAAAAGGATCAGAAAAAGAAACAAAACATAAATGTATAAACTACATGCAAGTATTTAAACAACGGGGGGTATAGTAAGTATAATAATAAAAAATGAAAAAAGTATTTTTAAAATTTAAAGAATTTAACTTATTTGCTTAAAGCCGTTTTACTCTTTTACTTTTTTACTTTTTTCTAGAGAAAAGTAACTTATTGACTAATTATTATTATTATTATTATTATTATTATTATTATTATTATTATTATTATTATTATTATTGTTATTATTATTATTATTATTGACTAATTAAATAATTCAGTTTCTTCATTCAGTGAATATTTATTTATTTTTATGTAAATATATTATATTAATATTTATAAAAATTGATAATTATTTTTGTAATTATAATAAAAGTATTTTTTTGAAAAGTGATAATAGTGCAATTATAATTTTTACTTTACAAATTTTTTTAAAATGTTTTGTATAATGTTTATATTTTATCTTGTTTTAAACTTTTATCTATGTTTTTTACTCTAGGCTAGTCAATTTGTTCAAGATGATGCAGTATCTAACCTAATTATGTTGATCTCTAACACTAGCACTTTGCACACATATACTGTTCAACAGTTGTTTAAATCTATTCAGGAGGAGCGTAGTCAAGTAATAATCTTTTTTATTATTTTTTGAAAATTATTAAATTAATTATAATGTAGATAATGTCATTTAAATATGTTTTTATAGGCAGCTCTGCTACAGGTTGGAGCATGGTGTATAGGAGAATTTGGTGAACTACTTCTTTCTACAGATCTTGAAGAAGATGAGCCACTAAATGTATCCTAATATTTTTCTTATTTGACAATTTTTTTCAATCCTTGAACAAGTTCATTAAAAGCTTTAGATCAAGGTTACTTATCTGGAAAACTAAACTTGATGGAGGTGCAGCATGGTAGGGTTAGTGGTAAGGTCATGCTGACACTACATACTAAATGTGGATACCCATGTTTGATGGTCATAACTTTTAAATAATTTTAATAATGGTTCCATAATTAAAGTATTTCCTCATCATTACAAAAAGAAGTGATTGAAAAAAAAAATTAAAATGGAAAAATATAAACAAAAATAAATACATTTTTTTTTTTAAGCAATTTCTTTTAAACTAGTATATAAGTGTGTTAAAACTAGAGGTGTACTGGATATTTTTGCCGGATATGTCGCATATCAAACTTTTCTAAAGTTCTATATAAGTGTTTATGAAGAAAAAACAAGTCTTACCATTCTGCATTAGTGTTCAAGATTTAAAAAGATAAAATCAAGAAAAACTGGTATAACACAGTTATATGCGTTAATAATGTTTAAGGAAAAATTGTTTATTACTATTTTCTATACTTCTTCAGCACATATCCCATGTCATACAGTTTTTCTCTTGATTTTTTTAAATTAAGATCTTGAATACTATTTATTGTAGACTGGCAAGACTTATTTTTTCTTCATAAACACTTATAGAACTTTAGAAAAGTTCAATATCCGGCAAAAATATCCGGTACACCTCTAGTTAAAACCATTTAGTTAAACATTAAGTCTAATTATTTATCTTTATTTGTTTTAATTATATTTTTTTGATTTTAATTTTACTTATTTATACTTTTTTTTTCTTTTTACAATCTTTTACCATTGAAAATTTTTTTTTTAATTACATCTTTTTTGGTAAGCAAACCTGCTGTTTATCTGTTTTAATATCAAAGTTTTTAAATTGTAACATTAAAATAAAATAGCTTCAAAATTTTTATATTTGAAGACTTTTATTCATTTATACTCCAGATTTGACATTTGATTTTAGATTGGACTCATTTAATATTATTATTATTATTATTATATTAATAAATTCAGGTCAGGGCAATAACATCCGTTTTTGCCATGTATAATAACATCTGTAAAACAACATTCGAAATTTCATCGATGTATAATAACATCCGTGCAACAACATCCCAAATTTCATTGATGTATAATAACTACATCCGAATTTTTTTTAAATGCATAAATTTAACCAGATGTAGTTATGCATCTGATTTTTTTTCGGATGTAACTACATCCGCCAAAAAAAAATTATTATAATGCATTATAATTTTTTTTTTTAATTATTTGATAGACTGCCTGCCCAAACCTAGCCCTCAGTTGATGTAGCAGCAATCCGTTGCGAGTCAGGCTATTTGAAAAAATTTATCCGAAAATTTATTTTATTTAATAATGCATTATTTTAGGTGGATGTAGTTACACATCGAGAAAAACTCTCGGATGTAGTTACATCTTTCTAAAGATGTTATTAGATATCAATGAAATTTCGGATGTTGTTGCACAGATATTAATTCAGTAAAGAAAAAAAGCGGATGATCTTACACGAAAATGTGCGGATGTTATTTCACTACTCCACGGATGTTGTTGGACAGATAGTAATCTTTTCCCTTAAATTCAACTTAATTTAATATTGTTTTATTATAAGGTATATTCAATAAATGCAGTACCTAATGCATTTATACAATGTGTAATTGAACTGCATTAAAATACAAAATCTTGAGCATACTAAGTTGGTTTAACGAACTTGACACATGTCTACTATCAATAGTAGCCATTTACTACAAAACATTCAAAGTTGTATCCTCATAAGATTATATGACTCAAAAATCACCCTTAAAAACTATAACATTCAACATACGAAAACCTTCTTCAACAAAATCTGCTTATAAACATTGGAATACATAAAATGCAAAAAAAATATTTGTATTTATAACAGCACATGTAACTTGTGCCTACAAAACAATTTTAACCATTAAACACAACAAATTATAAAAGATGGCCAATATATTTCTAATTGAACAGATAAACTTGAAATTTATTAAAGTAAATTATGTAAAAAAATAAAGTCATACAATATGAAATTCTTTTTGACAAAACTTGATATTTTTTTATAACTAGATATAACAAAAAATATATTGTTGATACTAGTTCAAATCATTTAAACTGAACAAATGCGAATAAACTGAACAATTATCTTTTTTGTTTTTTTATAATTACATAAATAAACTAATAAACTTATCAAAATGATACTATTATTATGTAAGTTGTAAATTAATAACCTTTTCATATAAAATCATTATTATTTTGTAAAACAAAAGACAAACTATTTAAAAGAAACTTGTTTAATTAAATTATGTTTAAATTTTAGGTGACAGAATCAGATGTCATCAATGTTTTATCTGGGATACTTAATAGTGTGTTTTCAAGTCGTGTGACTAAAGAATATGCTCTTACAGCTCTTATGAAATTGACAACACGGTTTGCTACATGCGCTGATCAAATTCAATATATAATTAATAACTATACTACTAGTACTGACATTGAGCTGCAGCAGCGATCAGTTGAATATGATGCTGTTTTTCGAAAGTATGATCACCTTCGTATAGGTTTGTTAGAAAGGATTCCTTTATTCAAAACCGAAAAAACTTCAAATGAAAATACAATTCCAGCTGTGGCTGCTGTGAATGGTAATGTTACACCAACAGAGAAACATAGTATGAACCTTGGTGTAAATTCTCATCAAAATGAATCTGACTCACTCCTAGACTTACTTGGTGATGGCTTGCCAACTTCCCCTTCTGCAGGTGTAACTCCATTACCTCAAAATCAATTTTCTGGAGGCTTGATGGATCTTTTAGGCGATATTAATGTAACACCATCTGTACAGTGTTAGTTAAATTATTTATGGTTTTATGGTAATGTAACGTTCAATTGATTTTTGTCTGCTGATTGATCTGCTGACTGTTTTTAGTTAGGAAATGAGTTCTTCAAATTAATTTATAATTCTTTTATTTTCAGCAACTCCAATTGCTCAAAGTGGAAATTATGATTTGAATGATTTATTAGGAATGGGTATGAATAGTAATGCTTCTCCAGTTACTACCAGTTTAGCTCGAAATGTATTAGGTATTACTTTTTTATCAATGTTAAAAAACTCAAATAATTTTAAATTCTTTATATATATATATATATATATATATATATATATATATATATATATATATATATATATATATATATATATATATATATATATATATATATGTATATATATATATATATATATAATATATATATATATATATATATATATATATATATATATATATATATATATATATATATGGGCAATTCCGCGAGAGTAAATAAATATATATATATATATATATATATATATATATATATATATATATATATATATATATATATATATATAATATATATATATATATAAAAGTAAATAAATAAATATATATATATATATATATAAGTAAATAAATATATATATATATATATATATATATATATATATATATATATATATATATATATATATATATATATATATATATATGGGCAATTCCGCGAGAGTGGCGGTCGTAACATCTGACATTCTTTAAGCTATTAAAAATGAACCAAAAATGGAGACAACTTGAAACTTTCCAGAAATGTGGAATACTATTATATAATTTAGTAAGCAAAAGTTGCAGTATTGAAGTCTTAAACTTTTTTAAAAAATTAACTCGGCGAAGCGTGACGGTCGTAGCGCTTACTTTTTATCGCTTCTAAACAAAACAACTCTGCCAGACTAAATGCAGCGAACGACATGGTAAAAATAAAAATCATTTGCTGTGTGCATTTAGCACATATTGATGTTATTATATGCAGAGTTTCATAGTTTTTACTTGAACTTTTACAAACATTTCTGTATTTTTTATGTCGTGACGGTCGTAACCGTGACGGTTGTAACGAAAAATCTAATTTTAAAAAAGAACAAATAAAACGACGCAATCAGAAAAAAAAGATGAATAATTATAAAAACCATGTAAACTTATAAAAACTATGTAAAAGTATGAATTTTATAACATTATCGAATTTCTCAGTTATGGTTTTTTGATACTGGGTTCGTTTTATTTGGAATAAGCAACCAAAAACTGGCTTTGTACCAAATATTTATTTATGCTTTATTACTTTACTAAATTTTTAATGGTTTATGCTCTTAATGCTCCCTGGTCCCAATATAAGCTTATAAAATAGTTCTTTCAGTAAAGAAAAAATATTAATTTTGAAATTGTTAAAACCCGTGAAAAATATTCGACAATTTTGAAATCAAAAACTTTCCATTTTTGACTTGCCAAAAATGCATTTTGGTAATATTTTTAACGGCTTTCGCTTCTTCAATTTGATCAGTTATAATGGCCCACCTTAGATTAATGTCATCTGCGTTGATTAGTCTAACATAAGTTTTGCTCCCATTTGATGCTAAAAGGAAGTTTTTAGCGTTTAAAACTATAACTTCACGAGATTTTACTCTGTTCCAAACAAATCGCTTCAACAATCCTCCTACACCATTAACTGCTCCTTTACCGTGAGAGGTAGCGAAAAAATTCCACTCTATAGATTGAAAATGATATTTCACAGAGCAATGTTGTATGAATTTGGCCATGTAACGATTTTTAAATTGAGTGCAAGGGCCATCGCTCCATAATATAACTTTTTTTATATAATCAATGCAATAGAGGTCAAATATTTCACTTAAGTAAGTAGTAGTGGAGCGCTTTGTTTTATCATTATCATCGGATATTATTACAACTGATTTTGGCTCTAATTGGTAACGATAGATAACAACTGTAAACAAAGTAATACTAGACTGCGACCAATAAGCAGCTTGAACAGCATCCTGATAACCACATACATAGTTTTGTGAATAATCAAAGTGTGTCAAAATTTGGTCTGGTTTGAGATTTTCCTTTTGACTAGGGTATTGCTCAGACTGGTGCTTTTTAGTGAGATGATGCTCAATAAACTCTAGTAAATAGTCGCAAAAGTGTTTATAGACGTCTGTTATGTTTTTTTTATGTTCACTGAGTACACAGCGATGATCATCTTTTATCCACCAACTATAGGTGATGAATGTATTCATGTCTCCGTTTTCTGGCAAAGAAACTTTAAATAATTTACAATCACTACATAACGAACATTTTATAATCCAACATTGGGACGTAGGTAGCACAATATATATTTTTCTAACCATTTATTACAATACAATGGAAAATGTATTTTACTTGGCAAAGCAGCACACAAATAAGTAAAATTACTGTGATAAACACAACCACATGATTCAAGTGGTGCGTTTTTGCATGTAAGAATGTATCTTAGCCTTAGTTCACAAAATTTAGTTAGTTTAACATTTTTGCTGGCACCCTCTTCACAATACAATTGGTGCAGCTCCTTTAAATTCATAACTAAATAGCGCCTTTGAACTTTTTCTCCGTCAACTTTAATATAATCTTTTCTTCCAGGAGACATTATTGATATATCTTCTCTTTCATAAAATGCTTTTACTTTTTCAATTTCTTCTGATGTGATGCGAACTCGCGTGATTTCTTCAGTAGTGCATAAGCCATATTCAGCACCTAACTGCTCTACAATAGTTCGTCTTTTATTTGGAGACTTTGGAAGAGCTCGTTTTGTTCTAAAAATTTTATTTAATATAAAAAAACCCAAATTATGCGAAAGCAATAACATTAAAAAATATAGTTTAATATAATTAAATACTTGTTTAATGCTTTTGTCATTGACGATTTGCAGTTATAAGAATTATCAGGTGTAACATTCAAACTAGTGTTAGCAGTAAATTCAAGTTTTTTTTTCATTCTTAACCTTCGGTTACGAACTTTCGCTTGATTTTTTTGCTTGTTTTCTTTTCTTGGTGTTAATAACTGTCTCCTTTGATAACTTCTCTTTCTTTCTTTTTCCAACAGCACTTGTCTGTTTCTTGCTCTATATGCTTTTGATCTTTCAGCATCTGATTTAGGCATTTTAAAAATGTTGTTAAATGCAACAGCTTCCGTTTGAGATTTTCGTTCTGTTATGTTAAAAAAAAACCCGCGAATTTTATAAATAAAAAAAACCGCGAAATCTAATGAACAAAAAAGTTGCAATGCAAACAAGAAACAACGTTTAAACTAAAAAAAAGTTTTCTTCATGTTAAAAGTTTTTATTTCTTTACAAATATTAATTTATTTACATCAATTATTTAAAATAAGTGATGTATATTTTAAAAAAGAAATAGGAAAAACATTAACAAGCTTATCAATATATTGAGTAAACAAACAGAAAATCAAACGAAATTGATTTGTAACTTGGTTTCAATAATAAAATCGTTCTCGCTTAAACTTTTTATTCAAAAGTCAAGAAGCCGTTATGGAAAAACAAGCATATCGTGATGGTCGTGACATACTTTGTTTAATACAATCTTAATACAATCATCTGAAACTCTTTTAAAAAAAAAACTGAAACAATGATAAAACTTATATCAGCATATTTACTTTTACTATATTTTTAGTTTTATAAAGTCTAATACGAAGCCTAGAAAAAACTTTTCGACTTTTTTTCGTGACGGTCGTAACGCATTAATTTGATAAATATATTCTTATTCTATACATAGTTGGAGTGCGTTTTTATAAAAAATGATTTACATAATGTTTATTTATGTCTTTAAGTCAAACTTAGAAGTAATAGTTACTTAAAAAAGCAGTATTGAAACCTTTTTTAACGCTTCACAATAGGATTATATAAAAACGTCAAAAAACGTTTATATAATCCTTACAACTTCAAAGCCATGCTATGGTATGATAAAATAACTTTTTAAATAACTTTTTTGCTTAAAAGTATTTTTAAATAGTTAAAAAAAGAGTTTATTGAGGTTAGTCTTTCTAACTTTTTTTTTTTTTTTTTTTCTTCTCTTTCTCGCGGAATTGCCCATATATATCTATATATATAAGTAAATAAATAAATAAATATATATATATATATATATATATATATATATATATATATATATATATATATATATATATATATATATATGTATATATATATATATATATATATATATATATATATATATATATATATGTATGTATATATATATATATATATATATATATATATATATATATATATATATATATATATATATATATATATATATATATATATATATATATATATATATATATATATATATATGTATATATATATATATATATATATATATATATATATAAATATGTATATATATATATATATAAATATATATATATATATATATATATAAATATATATATATATATATATATATATATATATATATATATATATATATATATATATATATATATATATATATATATATATATATATATATATATATATATATATATATATATATATATAAGTTCACCCCGCCAAATCAATTTTGGCATAAGTACTACTATATATTCAAATGTATTTAGAATGTCATTGTCATGTAATACAATATATATATATATATATATATATATATATATATATATATGCTTTTGCTTTTAGATATTCCGTCTATCACTGCCTATGAAAAGAATGGGTTAGCTATTATATTTTCATTTAATACAAGTCAGCTTAAAGCAACAGATTCGTTTATAGTTACCATGGTTGCAAAAAATTCAAATGCAGCTTCTTTAAGTAATTTTCTCTTTCAAGCTGCTGTTCCAAAGGTATTTTTATTGTTGTTATTTTTATTTTTATAAAGCTTACAATGAGTTGTTTGGTAATGACTTTTTAATATACCAAAGTTTTGTTAGTGTAGATTTTCTGTTTCATTTATCATGTCATGACACAACATTTGTGTAATTACACACACAAAAAGAAGAATACAAACTTTATTATTATTGATATTTTATTTTTTTTTTCAAAAAAATAAGGTTTAAGAAAAATAACAATTAAATTGTGTAAAGGTGAATTTGATATTATATAATTAATAACAATTTTTATAATAATGAGGAATCTATTGAAAATCAAATTAGTTTGCTTTCAATTGATGTTTTTAAGATTTTTAATTATTTAAAATTTTAATTATTTAAAGTTGAAATGCTTTTTCTTTTTTCTATGTTTGACAATTTTTTTTGTGTTATGTACAAAATTTATTTGCCAAAATAATTTAAAACTTCAAAAGATCTCTTTTAGATAAATGATTGTACTTGTGCTATTACTTTTAGATAAAAAAAAAAAATTATTCAAGTAATTTGTACTTGTGCTATTACTTTCCACGTTAAATAATATACTATTCTAATTAATATATCATTTGCTTAGCATTCAGCTTTTGTGTATTTGTTGTGTTTATGTCTATTATGTATCATATTTGTTGATATTTGTATCCTATTTATTGATAAAATAGTATATTTTATTACCTTAAAATTTAAATTATAGCAAAACTGGTCATAGAAGGTTTTTTTTTTCTGCTATTCTATTTTTTATTTTAACTGAACCATTGAATGATTCTCAGTTGAGAAATAAGTTATTATAAGTTATCTAAAGAATAATTTTATTAGGAATTTTATTGCATTCTCTATCCAACACATTTAATTTGAATGTTGCCTCGTTGCTCCAAATAATATTGTGTGAAAACTGTACACATTTGTTCAAAAATTTTGTTTGTGGGCATCTGGAACAGTCTTGTTTCATTTAAACTGATGTGCACATCCTCAATGTTCTCACAATCAATTTAAGATCAGTTGTATAATTTTTATGATTTTTTATAATTAAAAATTATTTTAAAAATTTTATGCGTTTAACTTTACTCCTCAACTTTTGAGTATTATAGAAAATTAAAAAAAAAAGTTGTGAAAATGTTGTTGTTAATGATGAACATATTTATGGACATATTTTGAGATTTTAAGTTTACCAAAAAGAGATAAATTGTTCTCAGAATTTCTGAAATGGTCTTGAAATCAAGTGGTTCAAGGTTTGATGCCTGCTATGGCCATACATGCAATGTCAATAAAAAAGACACAACATTCAAAAAATGCTTTTCTGCTCTGGTTTGTGACAAGGCTGTTTTTGGCTTTTTTTAATGGTTTTCTTGGAGCACTTTAATAACCAGAAGAAAAAAAATTATTTTATTTGTAAACATTGTAAAATACCTGTTTAAAATCATTTTTTAAAAATATATTTTTTTAAAGCAGTTAGATGCTATAAAAATTTAACAAAATCTTTTTTTAGCTAAAACTAATAACCCTTACCAGTTAGCTTGTTTAACTGGGTTTGGTTTTAATCAAAAAGTCATATTTAGCTGGTGTTCTGGTTGGTCAATATCTAACTATTAAAATAAATGTGTCGAACATTTATTCTAAAATAACAAAAAAAAAAAAGGAAAGTTTTTGGATGTAATAAACTATTTTGTTCTACAGATAAAAAAAAAAAGGTGCAGCATAAGCGTATTTTTTGTTTGACTTGTTAATTGATATTTAACAACAGGGTTTGTTTTTAAAGTTAAAATGATTGAGACACTAGATATGTTCAATCTGAGTAGTGAATGGAAATGTAGTAAAGCTAAAGTCATTCAAGGTAATGTTCTTGAATTTATTTTCAAGAAATACATTTATACATATATTATTCATACATGATATATATTCTTACTATCAGAGACAAACCTAGTAAAATATGCTGATGGGTTACTGTTATTCGCATGAAACTCAACCATTTAAAGTGCTAAAATTTTTGATAAAAGTTTGTCAACCTAATCAAGTTACAATTCCATCCCCAATTCTTTTAAACTCCAAACTCAAATCATTTGATTGCTACAGTACCTAGGAATCCTAATAAACAAAAACTAAAATGGGATGATCAATGGGGAAAAGTTTATAACTTTATCAAGTCAGTGTCCTACTTTCTCAAGCACCTTAAACATTTTGGTCACACTAAATTAAACTTACTTCAAGTTTATAGATCTTATGCCCTAATCTCTCATACCTCTAAACTCTCGTTTTGCAGTGATGCAGCAAAAAAAAGAGCTCAACTCAACTCCATAATCACTTAAAATTATTAAAATGGATGCAATAAATTCATACCAGTTCAATATATGACACTATATCGAAGAACTTATTGATAAAACAAATAAAAATTTACTTAAAAAAATCTCACCCATTGCACGTAATAACCTCAAAATTATCTCTAACCACAAGCAAAAATCCACATGTTTAATACTACAGCTAACAATTGGTATTGAAAATCTTTGTAATTAGAATTAGTGGTATTGAAAATCTTTGTAAGTAGAATTAGTGATTTTAACTAGATTATTTAACACTCCAGATACAACATGAAGTAAAATTGTAAAATTCATTCTTATGTTAATCAATATTAAATAAAATCTAAAAATAAATACTTCTACTTTTGATTTGGTTTGAATTAAAGGTTTACTTGTACCTACCTGCTACCTGTACCTACCTGCTAACTGATTAAATTATTTTAATAACGATTGTGCTTAGTTTTTTTGCATATGTTATCATGTAAGGTAAAGCATAACTATATCTTTATTATATATAAACCTCAGAATGATACATAAGTAGAATGCCCTATGAAACAGATGCACGTAATCTAGAGGATAATAAAAATTTATTAAACCTGTTTTTAAAATAATATTTTGCATAAAGTTGTAACTGATTACTTTTCTCAAAAACTTTGTAGCTAAAAATACATTTAAAAATAATATTATATATTGTTCAGTTTATTTGAAAAAAATAATTTTGTTCTTATCCTGTATACCTGCACTTTATTCTTTATTTACTGTAAACTATGGCATAATTATTCTTGACATTTACTACAAGCTGTTGCATAATTATTCTTTATACTTAACTAAACTGTTGCATAATTATTCTTTTTACTTACTCTAAATTGTTACATAATTATTTTTTATTCTTACTACAAATTGTTATATAATTATTCTTTATATTTGCTGCAAGCTGTCGCATAAATATTCTTTATACTTACTTCAAACTGTTCCATAATTATTCTTTATACTTAATGTAAATTTTTACATTTGTTTAGTTTTTATTTTTAACTGTAAAATATTTGCGTATTAATTCTTTATACTTACTAGTTACATATTGAATAATTATTTCTCATACCTAATCTATGTTGCAGAATTATTTTTTAAAATGCTAAAGTTCGTTTCAATTTTTTTTTTTAGACATTTCTGTTACAAATGCAGCCACCTTCCGGAAACGTGATATTACCCGGTGGATCAATTACACAAGATATGCTTGTTACTAATCCAAACAGGGTAAGTTGTTTACTTTCAAACAGGGTAAGTTGTATTTACTTTCAAATATTTTACTTTTTCAAACGTCAATAAAAAAGATATTGCATTTTTCTTTCCCTTTTTTTTTTGTACAATATTGTACAATATTTTAACTAACTCACTTGTGAAGTTTATGTAAATTTATTTCATAGGATGTTGTCAAAATGCTGCTTCGCATAAGTTATGTTATCAATGGACAAACAGTTCAAGAACAAACTCAAGCGAGTAATTTTCCTAATGCACTTCATGATTATTAAATATTTCGGCTTTTTCATGGTTTTTTATGAGATCTTTTATGTCCCATGAACATCTTTTCATGATGACCAAGTTGTTTAGGATTATTTACAAGATAATATTTGAATAACTTATTGTTTAACTAAGTTGTTTATAAATTAAAGTTTACCAGCTACTCTTTTTTATGTGCATTTTATTTTCGTGTGCAGAAAATATTGATAATTTTCAAATTCTCTAAAAATTATTAATTTGTTAGGTGTAATGCTTAAAGTTGAGCTCAGTTGCAATAATTTAAGTCTCTTGGTGTGTATCACACCTGTGTTTTTGGGTTCAAATTTTATTTAAGCGTTTTTTATATATTTTGAACAATTCGCGAACCAGCAGTAGCATCTAAAATTGTATTTATGTTTATTGTGGCATAATTTTGTATAATATTATTATTTTTATTTTCTTACGCTGTCCAATTTTCGAATACATTGATACATAAACTTAAACTTTTCTACTGAGATTGTATTGAAATGTTTCGTATAATTTTTTAAATCTGGAAAAATACTTGTTTTAACAAAACTGTTATCATGAACAAGTAGCACGAAAATTAGTATAAATATTCTTATAATATATATACAAATTTTTGGCCGTGTTTTTTTTTTTTTTAATTTATGTATAATATTAAATTGATGTATAATATTATACATAATTTTTTTAATAACAACTGGTGTATTTTTCTTTATTAAATTTACTATTTTTTTATCATTAAAACCACGTCTATTCCCTAGAGCCTGTCACGGTTTTTCATAAAGGACGCCGATTTGAATGGGAGGTGTGCTGCCACTTGGATTTAGAAACAACAAAGCGCCTTGTGAAGGAATAATTTGCAAATAAAAGTTTTTTAAAAATAAAGCTATGCTTCAAAAGAATATTCGCGATTGCTTAAAATTTTGATAAGAGTACAAGTATTGTTGAAATGTGGCGACGTGTCATGTTCTCAAATAAAACGCGAGTTAAACAGTTTGCAACACAAAAAGATGTTTGTTTGCCATCAAACTCACATTTTAATCCCCAATGCGTTGCACCATCTGTTTAGCAATGCCCGGCAAATATGATTTTTACTGTACAATCACTCCCAACGGTCGTGCTAGTCTACAACTTCAACAACAGATGATTCCGCAAATTATTTGGAAGTTATTTAAAAGCAATCTAACTATTTTCGAATTAGAAAAAATTTAAATTTTTTTTTGAAAACTAAACTCAACTTTACTAGGAGATCTGAGAAAAGTTCTAATGAAAGTGTCATAAAATAACGCCCTAAATGAATCTTTTATCGCCTTAATCCCGCGAAGAGGCTGCCCTAAAAATTCAAGGAGCCTCTATAACTTTATGTTCTATTCATTTATCTATTCTTTGATGTTCACAAATGTTTTTTTTTATTGTTTTTTTACTATACAGTTTTTTGCCTAGCAATTCATTTTTAAATACTGGTAGTATAATTATAACATATAAATTTAAACGAAATTTGTCTGAGACAGAAAATAAAATTTTATGCTGATAAAAACAATAAATTTATGTACGTTTATTGCTGTCATTTTGCTGATTTAAAAAATATTTTACTTGGTTTTAGTCTTGAAGCATTTAATATAATATACCAGCATTTAATATATATATATAGGGCCGCCGCGTGGGGAGGGTCACTGGGTACTTTTTACCTAGGCGCAGGGTCAGAAGGGGCGCACAAATAAAAACTTTTTTTTTTTATTATAAAATAGATGCCCAGGGCTTTAATGAAAAACTCTTTAAACTCGTAATTTAAAAATGAATTGTTTATTCAACAATACAGCATCATATTCGGGAGTCTGACTCTAGCCAAAACCGTTGCGGGAAAATAATTTTAAGGGCTGCTATGTTAAAAAAGAACATATATAATGAAATATATATATATATATATATATATATATATATATATATATATATATATATATATATATATATATATATATTAAATATGGAATGGTGGCATCAATGGAGTTAAAAAATGCTACCAAAACAATCCATAGAATAAATCCATACAATAAATAGAAGCCTCCTTGACTGTATTTACTCCCTCAGCCTTTAAAAGTGAATTTAGTTAAAAAAAAAAAAAAAAAAGACAGTATTTGGACAGTACCTAAACCTTTTTGAATTAGATCAATATGACAGGGCGCTAAATAAGTTTTGACCCCGGGCGTCATAAAGGGTCGCGGCGGGCCTATATATATATATATATATATATATATATATATATATATATATATATATATATATATATATATATATATATATATATATATATATATATATATATATATATATATATATATATATATATATATATATATATATATATATATATATATATATATTTAAACAATTTTAAAAAGTGTATTCTACAAAATAGAGTGCTCAATGTTCTTAAAAGAACAGAGCAATTATAAATTAGTAGAAAATCACTTAACAAAATTTTTTTTCATTTTACACTGTGTTTTATCAACATTTTACACTGTGTTTCATTAAGACTCATCAGAAATAATCATTTCTGATGAGTCTTTGTTGATGAAACACAGTGTAAAATGAAAAAAATTTTTGTTAAATGATTTTATACTAATTTATATATATATATATATATATATATATATATATATATATATATATATATATATATATATATATATATATATATATATATATATATATATATATATATATATATATATATATATATATATATATATATATATATTAAATGCTGGTATATTATATTAAATGCTTCAAGGCTAGGACCAAGTAAAATATTTTTTAAATCAGCAAAATGACAGCAATAAACGTACATAAATTTATTGTTTTTATCAGCATAAAATTTTATATATATATATATATATATATATATATATATATATATATATATATATATATATATATATATATATATATATATATACATATTATATATATATATATATATATATATATGTATATATATATATATGTATATATATATATATATATATATATATATATATATATATATATATATATAATTTTATGCTGATAAAAACAATAAATTTATGTACGTTTATTGCTGTCATATATATATATATATATATATATATATATATATATATATATATATATATATATATATATATATATATATATATATATATATATATATATATATATATATATATATATATGACAGCAATAAACGTACATAAATTTATTGTTTTTATCAGCATAAAATATATATATATATATATATATATATACATATATATATATATATATATATATATATATATACATATATAAATATATATATATATATATATATATATTTATATATATATATATATATATATATATATATATATATATATATATATAACATATATATATATACATATATATATATATATATATAAATATATATATATATATATATATACTTATATATATATATATATATATATATATATATATGTATATATATATATATATATATATATATATATATATATATATATATATATATATATATGTATATATATATATATATATATATATATATATACATATATATATATATATATATATATATCATATACATATGATAAGTTTGGCATGACTTAACTCAATATATTATTGATTGATCATTTTTATAAGAATTTTTTATTTGCATTTCCTTTTATAAATAAAAATGTTGAAGTGAATAAAAACGTGACTCTTTATTTATTAAAAAAATTTTCTAATTAAGAGTGCCTCATCAAAAGTATCTCATTTCTAATTGTAAAAAAACCGTTTTTAACTGTAAAAAATGTATATATAGATACTTAACTGTAAAAAAGGTGCATATAGATATAGCGCCAAACTAACCAATATAACAAATATGTTGAAATGAGATAGTTAAATGCAAATTTTAAAAGTCTTTAACAAAAGCAGCAACATCAAGCAAAATAAAAGTCAGTGCTCTTATTGTTGGCACTTAAACATCCATACAAGCAATCAAAGTGCAGGTACTAAACACAGGTAATACACATTTCTTAATTTTTTTTTATAATCTAATTTTTTGAAAGTAATTTATTACTTAATCATTTATATGATCAAATTCAAGTTTTATATGAGTAATTTAATTTACTCATATAAATAATTTTATATTTATATGAGTAAATTAAAATTAAAAAAATCTTTTTTTTTTTTTAATTAAACCATAAAACTCTAACTACTACACTACAGCTGCGATTTATTCTCTTATGTTTCTTTTTCTTAGGTTTCTTTTTCCAAATGGACCATAAAGAGAGAACAACTGCTTGGGTAAAAAAAAGGTATTATTACTTGTTTCTATTTTTACTTTTTTTTGATTACCCTGGAGAAATTTTTGTGATCCCTCCAGCGATTGAAGTCAGAAAGTATGCCAGCTACCGTCGAATATATGTAATTACTTAAATTACAACTCCACTCCCTGATTACTTAATGTAATCGCAACCAACACCAAAAATCATAATTCAGGTAAAATAGTTTACTTTACCTGAACCGTGATTTTTGTTGCGCTTACTTATTATTAGTTGAAACAGTCGTTAAAAATCAATCCAACCAACTTTTAAGAACGCATGCCACATCCCCAACCAACATTTGCATAGTTAAATGATAAATGAAAAATCTAGTTAAAACTGCATTTGTTAAAAGCACTATTAACTTTGTACAATACTCTTGTACTTTTTGCAACTTTATAGCACAAGAATTCAATATGATATTTCCAAGTCATTGACAAAGCTTCGCAAGTTGTTAAGATTTTCATCGATAAATTTACGCAAGTTGTTAAAGTTTTCATCGATAAAGTTACGCAAGTTAGAACATTATCAATAAAAAGTAAAAGCATATTGCAAAGAAATAGTTTTTTTTAGAAGTTTTATGAAAGAGTGACTATTTTGTTTCAACATTTACTAAATTTTGATATAACGTTTCAATGCTATTATTAGATCAAACGAAATTGATGTAATCAGTAAACATAACTGTCTTCAAAAGAATATCATTAATGTAAATGAGAAAAAAGAGAGGTAAAAAGCCTTGGGATATTCCCTAAATAAAATCTAATAAACTAGATGGTTTAATCGTATTACTACAAACAAACTGTTTTGATAATTTTTAATCAAAATCAAAATATTTCTTTTAATTAAAAAAAAGTTATTTAATTTTTTTAAAGATAATTTTATGATCAATATATCAAAAGTTTTTAATTAAAACATATATTTTGAATTTTCAAAAAGTTCAGCGATATTCTCCCGACAAGAAAATTTAATACACGCCACATGTGATAGCCACACTCGAGTTATGGGATGTCGATGATGTGAGCCATGTATGGTAGTAATAGTAATAGTAATACAAATTGCTGTAACGACGATTGTCGCGGAGTATAAAGTTTAAAATTTATACTTTAACAGCCGTTAACAAATGTTTATCTAGTCTAGCTTTAAAAGAATTTACTGTCATTGCAGAAACCACTTTTTCAGGTAAAGCATTCCAATGAGGTATCACTCTGTTCGTAAAAAAATTATGTCTCGGTGTTGTTTTTGCAAATTCTCTTTCAAATTTCATTGGATGACCTCGAAGTCTCTGGGAAGAAACTTTATTAGGCTCTTTATACCATAATATCTTATCAATCCCAGTTGTTAATTTAAAGAAAGCAATGAGATCTCCTCTTATACGTCTTGTTTCCAGAGTTGTGAGGCCCAACTTTGTCAATCTTTTGGTATAACTTAGATGTTTTAGTTCAGGGGCTAGCTTTGTTGCTCGCCTTTGAATTTTTTCTAGGTCATTTATATTGTTTTTATTACTTGGACTCCACACTGGAGCTGCGAATTCCAAGTGTGGTCTAACCAACGATGTGTATAGTTGCCTTACCATTTCAGTGTTAAGATAAGTAAAGCTTTTTCTTATTAAACATAAGATTCTTTGTGCTTTACTTGTAGCTACTTGAACCTGATGATTCCATTTCATATTGGATGAAACTATTACACCCAAGTCTAGTTCTTTTGTTGTTGTTTTTAGAAAACTTTGATTGTCGTGCTTTATAGTGTAGTTATAGTTAATATTTTTTCTTCCAATGTGCATAACACTGCATTTATTTATGTTAAAGTCCATTAACCATACATTTGACCATTCAGTTAACAAATCAATGTCATTTTGCATATTAGTTAGATCATTATGTTCTTTTATAACAGATATGATTTTAGTATCATCAGCGTATAATTTTGCGATTGAAGAGATACATTAGGGAAGATCATTGATATATAACAGAAAAAGAAGAGGACCTAATACAGAGCCCTGTGGTACACCACTATAAACCTCGCACCAATCTGATACAACTTCACCCATTACCAGTCTTTGTTTTCTGTTTTTTAAAAAAGAATCAATCCAATTTAAAATATTGCCTTTAATTCCATAGTTAGAAATTTTATGTATAAGTCGATAGTGGGGCACCTTATCGAACGCCTTTGCAAAATCTTGGAACAATATATCAACTGGATAACCATTTTCAATTTCAGTTGTAATAATATCGAAAGTTTCTAATAGGTTTGTTAGGCACCCTTTATTTTGTATAAATCCATGTTGTTGAGCCGTTAACAGATTGTTTTCTGTTATATAAATTATCAGTTTTTTTCTAATTATTTTCTCTATTATCTTACTTGGTATCGATGTTAAGGAGATAGGTCTGTAGTTGAGTGGATCTTTCTTGTCTCATTTTTTAAAAAGTGGTGTAATGTTTGCAGATTTCCATAATTCTGGCAGCTCTCCTGAATGTATCGATTTCTTGAATATTAAAGACAAAGGTTTGGACAATCCTTCTGCACAATGCTTTAGCACATAGGGACTGATGTTATCACAACCAAGTGACTTGTTTTCATTAAGTTCTAATAAATAATTAAATATAATATCTTCTTTTAGTTCTTGGTCCCAGTCACATTCAAATAAATGACTAGTTTTATTGCTGAAATATGGTAAATCTTGATTTTCTTTGACAAATACTGATTGGAAACTACAATTTAGTAGATTGGCAATTACTTTTTTATCAGTTATTATTTTGGTTATGGTTATGGTATTTATAATACATAAGTGTCATAAAAATTATAGCCACTTAAGGGCCATATGTGGCTACCACTTAAAGTGTATAAATACCATAGGCACATATAACCCACAATTACACCTTTCCATAAACCGAGTGTGGCTATCATTTAACAACACATGTAGTCTATATCAAGTTTTCTTGTCGGGCTGAATAAATCAAAATATAATGTGTTTGGTTGATTCTTCTAATGATGCTTATTAAAATATAGAATATGATTAGAAAAAGGTGATTGTAAATAACGTTAAGTAAAACTTTTTCTAAAATTTTAGAAAAGACAAAACAGACATTGGGCAATAGTTTGTATTAAATGTGTGCAAAGGTAATTGGGCGTTAATGGCTTTTTAATATTTTATTAATAGAATATAAATAAATAAAAACCTAATCAATTATATGCGATCTATTATTTTTTATGACATTATTGTTTGCCAACGTGTATGTAAAGAGTGGATGCCTTGTAGATAGAGCTCTTTAGGTTTGAAGGAAAAAATGCTACTCAAATGCTTTGAATTGCAGAGCCGACAACAATGGGGCAACACGTGGTTCCTCCCCACACACACACTTTTTTTCTAAAGAACTTTTTTTTATTTTTTTTTTAAAGAAAATTTTAGATATAGAGGACTTTTTTAAAAAATTAACGATTGTGCCCCTCCAATTTGAAACCCGTGTCGTCGGCCCTAAGTTGGGTTTTGTTTTCAAAATATTTTACCACGTAGATCTCAACAAAGAAAACAAGTAGTAGTTAATTGAGACTAAGTCAAATGAATACAATGAGGTAATATCTTGCAGTTAAACTCCAATGATTTTTTTGAGTTGACATTGCAACATGTAGTCAAGCATTATCTTAGAGGATACAAATTTTATGTTGCTCTAGACAATTCATTCTCCAACCAACCATTAAAACAACTCATCGTCAATAAGTTGAAAGTTTTTGGTTAAGCTTTTTAAATTAACCACAATTCACCTCTGAAGTGACTGTTGTATTTGTTGGAAGCGTCTCCCAATATGCAATACCAAGTACGCTTCACCACACAGTTTTTTTTTTAAAGAAATTCAGATTTTGGACTCTAACTATATTTATCTAGCACTATAAAAATGCAAAAATCAAAAAAAAACTTACTAGGCATTGTCTATGTAAATACCATATATAATTATATATATATATATATATATATATATATATATATATATATATATATATATATATATATATATATATATATATATATATATATATATATATATATATATATATATATATATGTATATATATATATATATTTATATATATATATATAATTTAAAATGTGTTTAATTATTTTTGCACACTAATAGCATCACCTCGTTAGAAGTTTAGTGTAATTGTGGCTTTTTTGAAATTGATTGTTTTTTGAAACAATCTAAAACTTTGAATAGTTCATCTTTTAAGTGTTCCAATGAGCCGATGACAACGTTTTCATAAATAAAATCATGGCCAACTTATTTTTTGACTTATTTTTTGACTTGATCGGAAAACTTAGTTCCTCTCAAGAGGACTTTTTTAAATAGAATTGGATGAATGTTATGATTGAAATCTTGGGAATTTCTTTTCTGTTTGTTTGCACCCAATTTTCTTTTTACTTCTCATTGGACGTCGAATCTAAATTAAGAATTTAAAAAAGTGGGCTATTATAAATCGCTTGCAAATCAAATCTCAAAAATAAAAACTTTTATTAAATAAATTTTGAAAGATTATAAAAATTTTTGTCAACAAAGCTAACTTTAGATCGAAAAGCTTTAAAAAATCTACGCTAAAATTTTTCTGGTTTTTTAAAAAATTGACATTCGTCATTTAATAAAATGTCCAGATAATAATAAAATGTTATTTTAAAAAAATTACACTTTGCTTTAGCTTTTAGCTAATCAACTTCAGGTACAATTCTGAAATTGATTCTGATTGATTCTGAAATTGAAATTGATTTGATTGATTGATTGAAAATTGAAATTGATTCTGATGATTCTGAAACTGATCAGCTAAAAGCTGAAGCTGAAATAACACGAAAAATAACTCCTAAACTGCCCTATCAAAAATTTATTTCCTTCATGCACAATAGCTTCATACAATATTCCTATAACTTTAGCAACTTTATTAAAATCAATTTAATATTTCTAAGGTTTTCATTGACATAGATAATATTTCTATGGTTTTTATTGACACAATTTGTATTAGCTACTCTTTTTTATTTTAAATCGTCAAAAAGTTCACAAAAGTTTTATTTCAGAGATAAAAAAATATTCATTTTGTTTTTATTTAACAAAACTTATTCATATATTAGTATCCATTTTGTTGATAAAACTTACTCATTTAAAACATCCAGATAATAACAAAATTTAATGAATTATTAAAACTATATAATAATTATAAATATATATACTTTTCATTATATTCATATTCCTCAATAATGCACAATATGGCGCTGCTTGTTTGATATAATGTATAATAGAAAATGGCGCTGCTTGTATGATATCGCTAATGACTATTAATATTTTATTTGAATCAATTAAATACATATAACTTTTTTGACTTGTCTGCCTTGAGCCTCAAATGTAGACTGATTAAACTAATTAGCTTCAGCTTCAAGCTGAAGCTGAAATACTTATTGTTATTTATTATATCATAATTGCAATGGAAAGTTTTTTAATTAAATGTTTTATTCATTATCTAAGTAGAATGGATTATCCCAATGTGATAAAAAATTTGAGATGAAATGTGATGAAAAATATTAATCTTAAACTTAGAAAAACTTGATTCGAA